CCCGGTATGTGTCTGGTCATTCACATACAGTGAGGCATGATGTATTCATATAATGACAATTCAAAGATTTTTATGGGTTCACCACACCACGAAGTGGTGTGGTGAAACCATATTGCTTTTTCTGATGTTTCTTCTCCTTCTCCTTCTCCTTCTTCTCCTGCCATTTTTTAAATGGATTCAGCTTCTTCATTTTAGGGCCCAAGGTCCTGAAATTTGGTATGGAGGTACAGTGGGCAAATACCCCTAGGCGTTTTTTAAATTATTGTGATACAGGCTTTTAGAATGGTTTTATTTGAGTTTTTTGGCTGTGTTATAGCAAATGTATTACTGTGTTAGTGTGCCTTGTTTACCACGTTTGGGCATGAGTCATCACAATGGAATGCAGGGCATCAACCAATAGGCATGCAGCTTTCCTCTATACTTCTTGCTGATTGGCTGTTGGGATTTAACTTGATTAACACCTGCACAGAAGCATTTCCATACTGACAGTATGTCTGTATTCAAGTGTTTTGGTAGGTATTTCAAGCTTTCCTGCTCCAGCATTGGAATGCCGGGCATGGACGTTTTTTTTTTATTTTGAAAATCAACAGTTTGCATTATGCAATTAAAAATCCTAACCAATAAAGTAGGGAATAGCTATCCAACTGTTGTTTTAGTTGTATTTTACTTCATATTATAGTTATATCAATGTAAATCATTGTTTTCCCTTGTGTTTCTCATTCTTTCCCTGCCATGTCGTAAAATGTGGTGAACCCATCGCTGTATTTGCTCCAAAGCAAATATTGGCCTTTCTAGTTGAACCAGTATTTTCTACATATTTTCTAGGTAAAACAGCATCAAGTTTTGTAATGCTTTTCAAGATGTTCCTGGAGGTAAAGTAAGACGTTAGATTTCTACCTTTTATGAAATAAAGACTAAGCTTTAACTTCCAACACTTAGATTACAGAATTGGGACAAATTTTCGATTGACTCCATCAACCTTGTTCACGGAATGGACCCGTCTACTTTTGGAACGTGACGCCAGAGACACGTGACCATAGTAGCGGTTCATACGTTGGAAATTAAAGCTTAGTCTTTATTTCATAATGACTTGTACCAACACAGATGAACTTTCATGCTAAGATTTCTACCTTGACGACTCCTTCTCTCCGCCCGGCTCCTTGAAGGAGGTCTCTTGCGTTGTCTTGAGACACCCTCCCTAAGATCCTCAGCACTGGGGTCCTGAACAGCTGGGTTGACAGTGGAAGACTGCAGCTGTCGTCTGTAGGGACTGTCGCTGTACTGGCTGTCTACATGTATGTTACGCTCCTCCATTTCGGGTGGTACATCCACTGCAATGAATGTATTGAGTGAATGAACGAATGATTTATTCAGTAAATTTAATTACCTCTCAGTCAGAGGATGAATTATGGATCACTTACAAAATTATCTCTGTCAGGTACAACCTTAATAAAGCTTAGTTACTTCCTTACATGAACTTAAAGTCTTGATTCACAATAAAATTAAATTTGTATTTATTTAGTGCCAGAGGCTTATCACTTACAAATGCTTTGGTCAAATTATACGAACACGAAATCATTGAGATAAAAAAATACACAGTTGTTGCTAGAGCTGTGTACCGGTACGCAGTACCGATACTGTACCGGAAAAATTGATTAGGTACAGGTCCAAAATACCTAATCCCTCAGTACCGGTACTGTACCTAAACAATTTCACACCAATTTTATGCCTATTTGTGACCTCAAATGTTTAATTAGCTGGTTAACAATGGGTGCCTGTGTAAGGACAGTGTGTTCATGAAAACAAAAACATCTTAGTTTTGCCTATATTTTATCTGAGCATTCGCCATAAACAAAGAATAAACCTTAACTATCAAGTTTATTTATGTTTTTTTGTTATTGAAGGAGTTCAGAAGAGCATATAAATTGGTCGAATTGTTCAGGTACAGGTTCAGGTCCGGACCTGTACCTAAACCTGTGTACCTGTACCTGTACCTGTACCTAAAATTTGTTTAGGTACACAGCTCTAGTTGTTGCGCATTATAGATGTAAAATACATGTAGATAAATAAAACTTACATGGAAAATATGTTAATTCTTTTATGAAGCAACTACTTAACATCCACAATAATTATATGATGTATGGGTATTCTTCAATCAATCAATCAATCAATCAATCAATCAATCAATCAACATATCAATCAATCAACCAATCAATCAATCAATGTTCAGTAATGTACCTGCGACCTCCCTGTACCCCTGTACAGCACCGATGTTCACCGCCCTCCTCTGTTCCCCTTCCACCCTCCTCCTCCTCTCTGTCCCAGTGTACTCATCCCCTTCCACCCTCCTCCTCCTCTCTGTCCCAGTGTACTCTCTCTCATCATGCAGGCGGTCCGCGCTGGCGTGGCGGAACAGGTGCGAGCTGTCCGGTCGTTTAGCGGGGGACATGGGCGGGGTGCCGGCCTGGCGGAGTCGGTACGGTGCAGAGTACATGTACGTACCGCTGTCCTGCAGATGTTTGTAGGCAGTTCTGTAGATGATGAGAAGAAATTGTTTTATCTTCATTCATATCAATCAACATAGCAGAAGTATGTAGTACAGTAATTCCTGATTTTTTCCACAGTAGTTCACGGTTTTCATGGTCACTTCTGTACCATAAATATCATTACCGTTAACAAATAATTCAGACATCAATTTTCTTTTTCTTGCACCTGTTGCCACCGTTAACTAACCATGTAAAATTTTGCTTCATAACACCTCTGCTCACCTGCTGTTGTCCTGAGGTGGTTGGTAGGACTCCTTGTGCACGAGAGGGGCTTTGTCTTTCCTGCTTCTCCCCGAGCTCTGTTTGGGCCGTGTGCCTTGGATGTAGAACGCTCGCCCCATCTCAGGTCGCTTCTTCTCAAACTTGACTCCCTTCTTGGCGACGACTTTGTCTTGGTCTACTGTTGTTGCTGTTGGAGTTGCATTGGCGGCTTTTTGAGTAGCGTTTGCATGGGTGTGAGATTGGCCGTTGACGTGTTGGATTGGCTCCTGTTGAAATACAGTTCCACTCTGTCCATCAAGGTGGCCCTGCTCTGGATGTTCTGTCTCTTCGGTGATGACGTACTCCTTGTATTCCTGTGCTTTTTGGTCCCACAATTCAGTCAGAAAACCTGGAATGAAGCAAGAAGGAAAGTTTTGCTCGTCTCAACCAAGTTCTGTTATTTGAACCGTTACTGTAACAATGTGATGTAATGACTTCACAAGTAAAGTACAAAATAGTCTTTAAAATGACTTTAACTTCTCAATCTCAGTGTTTTTACCCAATTACGTGAATTTATTTTGTGCAATGTACAATTTTACTCGTCATCAACTTACCAGCGATAGAAGTGTCTTCTACAATGAAGGAACAGCGATTGTCTCCAGGAGTCTGGGCAGGAGACATTCTCCGTCTTAGTCTCAGCTGGTCTTCTGGGATCTTACCTGAGGCATAAGTGTAAAAACATAAGATGAAACTTTCTATGAGACTTAGTTTAAGGAATGACATCAAAACTGTACACAACGAATATAAAATATAGTGTCATCCCAAACTACATGATTCTCTTGTAGTGTTCTATCTATGGGTTATTACCATCTTCTAATTTAGAAAAGAAGAAGAGCGCAGAAACATTAACAAACTGGCTACGTGTAAGAAATTCTACCAAAGACTGTGCAAGTATAATGTCATCCTACATACATACACTTTTCACTTATTTCCTAACTAAAATGAGCACTTAGTTTTGGCTGGGGACCTTCTCTCAAATAGGAAAAAAGCTGATGGTTCTAAGTTTGAGTATGATATAGAACTGAAAACAATACATATTTTGTAGTCTACAACAAGTTAAACAGATGTAGTGAAAGTGATTACCTGGCCCGGGTGTAGCCCAGATGGCTGGACTCGCAATCGTTCCGTCCCCCCTCACCATGGTCAGGTGGGTCGGTCTGCCTTGACCTTTGCCCTGGGCAGCCCAGACCGCGGGGCTGACCACGCTCCCATCCCCACGTACCACGGAAACGTTGGCGTCTCGCGTGTCTGGTGCAGGTTTGTGTTCATGTTCGTCTGAAGCAGTGGAGGCACTGTCGCTTCCTGTAAATTGTGAAATGCTCCATTATTACTTTGTGTAAAATTCAAGCCCCTTAAAAATATTTAGCACTACGCATATTCTACTATACATGGAATTTTAACATAAAATTAATAAATAAAATTAATGTAATCAATGATGAAATGCTGTTGGATGCAAATTATCAGTGCCGGTAATCTCCTGATGGCAGTAGACCAAATCAATTAATGTCCTTGGTATATTGTCAGGCCCATCACTGTTCATCTTTCACTTGACTACTCATTTGAGACACAAAAGGTTTGTTTTGTTGCACTTAATAATTGTTGCATGTTTTGTTTGAGCAGCATAAGTCTAAAACCACTGAAAAACAGTCACTATCTTTGAAAGTATTAGATCATCATCATTTCCTCATCCAGAATATGTTCTGAATTATCGCCCTGAAATTGAATTGTATGGCTGTAAGTCCATAAACCAACAAATTTGGTTTATCCGGCCTAAACACAGCTATGTCTATCGTGGACTGTTATATTCACTCACCTGATCCAAGATGCCACTTGGGCATGGTGAGTTTCCCAAGACGTTTGGTGAAGTTGACAGCCGGAGGTTTCTTAATGATGGGAGCGGAAGACGTCTCCCTGAAGGACCCACCCTGTCTTAGGCTCCAGTTCCTTGTGATGAAGTTCTTTATTCCAGTTCGATACTTGCCCTGAAGAAAAAGATCATTTTTAATATTTCTTAAAGTAGCAGAATAGTAAACAATTTGATTGTTTGCATTCATAAACAAAAAAACTCAATACAAGATACACGTTGTAAGTCCTTACAGTTTTCTTCAGGTTTTCTTTTAAACTATTTTCTTATAAAGAATATTGTTTCTACTTTTTGAGCTGTTTTGTTAGCTAGCTTCCTTTTTTTCTTAAATTCTCAGCAATACTATGTGTGCCAAATAGTATATACTTTAGGTAGGATATAAAGGTGTACAATTAGTGTTTTTCAAGTTTGTATATCAATTCTTTGGGCCAAAAGCCTGAGTCAAAGAAACAAACACTACATGTATAACTGGATGGATGGCATCTATACTACAACACATAATTCAGCACCAAGGAGAGCTCCCATTTCAGACCATGTCCATACCTTGCCCTGGTAATCTGTCACTGAAACATGCACGAAGACAGAGGCTGGATGTCCCTCCATGTGAACATGTCTGTATCCTAGAATGATAAAAAAAAAGACATTTTACAATTCATTCATAGTGTATTATTGCAAAACTGTTTTGTTATGACCAAAGGGTGGTTATAATTGTCTGGCTATGCAGATACAGACATACAAGCTGGTGTGTTACACTGAAGGGCAGCTATACTGGCTATACAGATACAGATAAAAGAAGCTGGTATGTTATGCCAAAGGGCGGTTATACTGGCTATACAACTACAGATAAATATTTTTGTTTCATGTGTATAGGGCTTATTCACCACAGATGGTCACGTGACTCTTCCCCCGGCAGCGAGCATTGTCCGCCATTAGGGGGTGCAGCATGGTGCCTATCGCTATGCAAACTCTTGGCGATAGTTGCGCATTTTGGGCCACAATCTACGTTTTGAACACTCTTCTTGTTCGTAACATTGTCCTTGGGGTTGTTCTGGCTCCATGTCCACGTCTCAAGATGTTCTCAAGATCGGCTTTTATCTTTTTTTGCTGATCAGAAATCGGTGTGTTTTACCCTGGCATAGGGGCCTGTAGATCGCCCCCTGTAGATGTCAACGTGGATAGCCATGGACACGTTAAATCTGTTGAAGCTACCTGTCCCTTTACTCTGTGGTAAATGCCCATGTAGAACAGGGCACTGGCAACTTGTAACACTCACCTTGTCCAGCCACAGTCGCGGCAGTGTGGACTGAGGATGGCGGCCGGCGGCCGATGGCCCCGCATTTGTTTGTTATTATCCAGACACAGTCCGGGGCTGTTCCAAAATAGCGACCTTTTGCGTATCCCGACTACAACCTACTTGTCACCACGCAACTGCATGTCCCACAACACTCTCTACACATCCTGATACAACGCTTCCAGACTCTTAGAGGGTTTGAACCGATGTTGTGTGTAAAAACTTCCGCCCAGTACCAAATACGAAGCTAAGTCGCGTCAATGGACTCCGCTGGCGGTAGACGCCGTCTCGATCAGACTGATCAAAACTCAACAAAAACGGGTCAATCCCAACAGATTTTATTTTGTTCCAGTAATGAGAGGTATGAGTGGTGGTAAACTCTTCGTGTAATAGGACAAAGGACAGTCTACCTAACGTTTGTCGGCCATTTCAATGCTTGGAAACTCGCTGTAGGCGCTGTAGCCCCAAAATGGCGTCGCACGGGACATGAGGGGTCGTGACGTCATGATGACGTGTGGTGAATAAGCTCGATACAAAACAAAACAAAATTGTACACTTGCATACAGCCTTATCTGGGGCCAATACTAGGTAAATATGCTGGATTATATGTTGGTTTATAACTTCTGAACTATGAGAGTTACAAAACAGATTCAAAGTATCAAATTACTTTCATATGCACTCTAAAAAGAACACACATAGTTTAACAAACATACTACATAAGACATTATGATGATTAGATATAAACACTATCAGATCATAGGCTTACTTTTGTAGAGCACCTAACCCACCTGTGAGAAGGCTGATGAATGGTACAGTCCGATGCCCTATGACCTCCTGCTGATGGTCATAGTAGCAGACAACAGTAAACCTGACCATGGCAAGGTCAGGCAATGTCAGGTTGAAGGTCATAGTGTCATCCCAGGTGGGGTTGTAACCTGTATTTCAATAAGAACAATAATTCAATAAGAACTCTTATTTCAGGTTTAAACAATTACTGGCATTGCTAGACTTATTCACTTAAAACATGTCATGTTTCATATATTTCTATGCTATCAGAGTTATAACATTTAAAAAAAAATGTTCTTCATATTCAAAAGCTAGTATTTTACTACCAACAAATAAGAATTAATACACATTTATCGAGACAATGTAATACATGAACCAGTGCAGGTCAGATGTGCAGAAAGTTTACAGTTTCACAAATTTTCATAATACCATGCAGGTGGAAATTCAGGCTCTTTTTTGCATAATGAGATAATGAGTAATAACTATGTTCTCACCATCGGTGCTATGAGGCCTTGTCTGTTCCTTATGATAGTCCAGCCCCAGCCCCAACACCTCCACCTCCACACGGAGCTCCGCTGGACCTTCACTGGCCGTGGTCACTCCCCGCAGCTGCTGACCACTCAACACCCGCACGGTCAGCTGTCTTCTGGTCACTCCGGCCAGGGGAGAGGTGGTCAGTGGGTTGAATGACTTGTTGTCTGGAGAAAAAGAATTATAGAAATCGTAAGAAGATCGTAATCAAAAATTTTTGTTTCCTGTGCAACGTAAAATTGTTTGGAAGGTTGAATGTTATGGTTACAATTTCATTCTTTTGTTAACTTTTCATTCATTCATTTGTTCATCAATACCAGTAGGTGGGAGTTGAGCAGCAAGTTTTGATGTAAAGTTATTGCCTCCAGAACATGAAAAAAAGAAAGAAAAAAGAAAGAAGAAGAAGAAAGAAAAAATGGACATACTAGTTCTTTCATTTCATGACCATCATACTTTTGAATTCTTGTTTTATGTACAATGTTTAGTAGTTTTTAATGTTATACATAATCTGTTGGTAGCTGCAAAACACATGGTTAACCTACCTTCCCACATGACAGCAGGTTTGAGTGTGTAACCACAGCCCCCCTTACCTTAGCAGTCTGAGGGTTAACCTACCTTCCCACATGATGGCAGGTTTGAGTGTGTAACCACAGCCCCCTTACCTTAGCAGTCTGAGGGTTAACCTACCTTCCCACATGACGGCGGGTTTGAGTGTGTAACCACAGCCCCCTTACCTTAGCAGTCTGAGGGTTAACCTACCTTCCCACATGACAGCAGGTTTGAGTGTGTAACCACAGCCCCCATTGGCGCTGAATCTTGCCCTGTTCAGCTGCATCATACGACCCTCTGTCTGGTAGTTCAGTGCAACTGGAAAAATTGGGAACAACATTTAGAAATCTTTCCTACTGTAATTCACTTTGTATGTGATGAATTAGTACTAGCAACATTTCATAGTCTGACTAAAGTAGACATGTTCCCAGAGCTTAACATGTAATATTCGCGAAGGGGAGGGAACGAAAGATAAATGATTTGATACTGGTAATAATAAGTTCACAGAATTGACTGAAAACAATGAACATAAAGTACCTTCAGCTTGAAAAAAATCAGAAATCACAGTATTACAGGCTAAGGAAGTAACCTAACATTATACTTACATTGTACTAGCTAAAATCTGAAGAAGAGACAGCTACAGCCACATTACTAAGTACAGTATGCACTAGAGTACAGCAACCACTTATTACTTGATGTGTCTTACAATAAAGTCACATTTAAAAATCTTAGAAGATAGTCACATATATAATGTACATGCAACATGCTCCTTACAATATAGAAAAAACAATATAATTGTACAAATGCAGTGCTTGTATCTTAGAGCAAAGTCTAAAACAGTTACTGCATGCGGTGATATGTTCTTACTGTTCCCCTTACCCATCTGACAGCCCATGTTCCACAGTGCCTGTGGGTCGTAGTTACTGGAGTCCACCCGTCGAGCGGAGGGGTAGATCCTGAAGAGATGGGAGCGGGTGAAGGCGGCCATGTCGGCTGCATGGTCGGCAGACAGGGCTGTGGCCTTGTTCTCACTGATGGAGGGGACCTGCCAACAAGGGACTGTGGGGGGGGGGGGATAACTCACCATTAGTATAACACCACAGAACAATCTTGAAAGTTCATCTGTGTCAGTAGAAGTCATTATGCAGCGAGTTTAAACTGTAATTTCCAACACAAGGAATTAGACTCACCCAAATTTTCGACTGTACAACTCCAGTCTATTTTTGACTGTACAACTCCAGTCAAGGACAAAGACTGGAGTTGTACAGTCGAAAATTTGGGTGAGTCCAATTCCTTGTGTTGAAAATTACAGTTTAAACTTGCTGCATAACCACAGAACAATCTTTTAATTATGATTGAAAACATTGAAAAAACATGAAAACATTGTTTTTGCTCTGTTTCTTCTTCTTTTTCTTCTCCAAACAAAAATGAACTTTTCATTATTATCATGAACCAGATGGCTGTCATCATGGTAACTTTGTGATGTAGCAGACACCCTGTGGTGTTGGATTGCATTATGTAGCAAGTTGCAGGACAGATTTGTAGAGGCTGGTCACTATATACTATGGAATTTATTGTGTCTCTAGAGTAAGAATAAACAGAGCAGTAGTTTGTTGAGCTACATGTATGTTGTACATGTACAATGTAGACCATCCCAATGTAAAGGCAAACATCATGTACTGAATTGCTTTCAAAGTCTCTTGAATGCCGTCGTAATTGCCACAATAAACATATTTGCAACAGCAATAATTTTTTTTTCAGTGAGTGATCCAAGAATTATAAGTCTTAGAGTCCTATCCATACTAGCTTAGCAACCTGTAACCAAGTCCCTTGAGTGGTTATACAGCTTTGATTTGAAGGAGTGTTCCTCACCGTCTGACTTGAAGTCCACAGTACTGACAGTTCCCATGTACCAGACCAGGTCGGACAGTTCCTTAGCCAGCAGCATTCTCCTGGTGTGCTTCTCTCCACCCTTCCTTCCACGCCCTACATCCAGGAGATCTGGGGGAAAACATTGCACTCATGATAACAGGTGGCAAGGTGGTCCTGTGGTTAGGGTTGCTGAATCTGAAGGTTCTGGGTTCAAATCCCAATAGCAGGCCCATGCAAACGTTGGGGGCAAATTTAAGGTGGTGTTGTGGCCAGGGTAGTGTCTTAGAATCCAACGGTTCTGGGTTCAAATCCCTGACAGGACCCAATGTTGAAACTCGTGGCAAGGTGGTCTTGTGGTCAAGGTTGTTGACTTAGAGTCTAAAGGTTCCAGGTTCGAATCCAGAGCAGACCATAATATTGGACTTGATGGACCATGGTCTTGTGGTTAGGGTTGTTAACTCAGAATTTGAAGGTTCTGGGTTCGAATCCATTGCAAGTGCTAGGGATTACTAGTTCAGCACCAAGGACAGTATCCTTTCTGATTTATCTTTTAAATTTTGACAATGTTGGGGACAAATTAATGTGGTCTTGTGGTTAGGGTTGTTGATTTAGAATGTGAAGGTTTCTCCTGTAGGTGCTAGGGATTACTAGTTCAGCACCAAGGAAAGAATTCTTTCAGGATTGCATCCTTTTCTTTCAAATTTTGACAATGTTGAAGACAAAATTTAAAGTGGTCTTCTGGTTTTGGTTGTTAATATAACATGTTAAGGTTCTGGGTTCGGACCCTTAGAAGGAGCTAGGGATTATGAGTTCAGCACCATGGAAGCATTCTTTCTGGATTACATCCCTTTCTTTTAAATTTTGACAATGTTAGAGACGGATTTAAAGTGTTCTTGTGGTTAGGGTTGTTGAAATGAATTGAAATGACTCTATATGCAATTGTTATTTTTTATTTACTTCAATTTTCACCTCAAAACAAGGCTCATACGAACCACTTACATGAACGTTTGGTGTTACACTAGGGAACTGTAAAGACAGATATCTGTTTACCTTAGACTTAAAAGATTATGGTTGTACTCATTTAGGAAGCATTCACTATACCCGTTTGGGAAGCAATACAAACAGATAAACAACAAACAAAGTACTAGCCTCTATCAGGCTTGAGGGCGCGGCTGGAAATAGTAGAAATTGGCCAAATAGAGAGATAACACACCGAGGGAGTTTGGCTGGCAAACTGTAAACTGGATGGCTAAACTCCCTCGGCGTGTTATATCTCTCTATTTGGCCAATTTCTACTATTTCCAGTCACGCCCTCAAGCCTGGTAGAGGCTACAAAGTACCTCTCTGTCCCTGTGCTTTCTCCCCCACAGCTGCGGTTGCTAGGGCGTGGGTCTCCATGACAACAGCTTCCTTGTTGTCAGGTATGATGTCGTTGACATCCTGTAGCTGCTCCTGACTGTGTAGGGTGGGAAGGCCGGGCGGTTTCACCGGCTGCTTCTTCTGTAATGAGGCAGGAAATAAGAGTTGATATTTCACAGATTCAATTGCTGGGATTTCTGGCTAGACGTTGCGTCCTTGGGAAAGGCACTTTGCACGACTAAGTAAAACTAGAGAAGTAACATTTGCAAAGCAAATGCATGTTTACCTTCGGACATGGTCTGCCCTGTTAATTTTTACTCAAACATAATCACATACATGTACTACTAGTATGTGGTGACAGGAGCAGAGCAGACCATGAAGTTTGCAACATTATGTAACCATAATGTCATTGTCCAGGTCAGAGGTTAGTGTTTGGAGAAGAGGAAATTGATAAAAACAATATGTTTTCCTTCGGTAAACATAATAAAAACAAAAAGCTGGCAGGAAACCTTTCCCATTATTTTGATCAAACACAACAGAGAGTTGCACTTTACCTTCTTCCTGTGAGTGAGTTTGTTAAACGTGTCAGACAGAACTTTGGCCCCAAACTTGCGGTCCTGGGCGTCCACAGCGTCTGCCTCGCTGAACGAGCTGCTCCTACCAGCCTGTAGACATAACATGTACACAGATAAGGACTCCAGAAAGATTTAGATATTATTATAATAGTTGTTTGCCATTATGTCAATTCTATGTGTGAAATTCTGAACTAAAAGGGAAAAGACAATGTGGTGCAGATAAACTAATCTTCAACATTTACTTCAAGTTGGTAATTTTGAATGACATTTGCACCTGCACAGTCAGGTAAGCAGAAAAATATATTTGTAGGCAAGATAATATTAGAAGTCTCGTACTTGGTGGCAGTGAGGACCACCCTAGGAATTTTTGAACTCCTCAATCCTTGATAACTTGTTGATAACTTGAAGGCATCACTACATGTATGTCTGACTTTTCAAGGCTTTCAGAATTTTCAAGGTTGAAGTTAGCTAGTTTACTAGATGGTACGTCCACCAATTTGTAAGCCATTACATTTGAAGTTACAATCATGCCTCTATATATATAACCACTGGGCTATGCACACAGAAAAGTCTACCTCTCTATTTGGCTTAAACCACTGTTTAAAGTTTTCAGTTAAAGTAAGTCTGTAGTACAACAGTTACCGTAATAAATTGGAAAGACTTAAATAAGTTTGCAGTGTTATGAATTTACAGTTTATGCAAACATTTCTTCAATCAACATGTACAGTACCTTCCTTTCTCTGCTCCTGCTCCTGTCCCTCTGACGTTGCCTGTCCGAGTCCTCGTGGTCGCTGGACCCTCCACGCTTCCTCCTGATCAGCGGAGAGTTGGCCAGCGCCAGCCGTGCACGCTGCCTCGGACTGACCGGCAACTTGTGATGCTCCTTCTCTGCCGCCACGGTTTTGCCGCTCTTAGCCAGGGTGGCCAGCTTGCTCCTGGCATAAGACTCCACAATGTGTTTCCTGCAGGAACTTTCCATCAGCTGAAAGGAGGAATAGAAATGTTTTTAAAACCCTTGTCCTGCTGAGCGCAACAATTATCGTTCTGCACATACAGTACCATCTATATAGCACCCTGTATAGGTACGATTTGGGGGTACAATGTATTTCTCGTACAACGCATCACACCGCAGCGAAATGCAACAAATGCGGAAGTAACTATGCCACTGCAGGGCAAAAAAAATTGGGAGTCTATGATCTAATTAAGACATGAAATTATTGAAAAATATTGTGCCAGGAATGTCAGCAGGACAAGGGTTTAAAAAAATCATTCAGGGGCTAAGATGGGAATAGCTGGTTGGGTAGCATGAGTGTGATGACAAAAATCAAGACTATATAGCATTTCCTGGACAAAAGATACAAAACTGGTGCTGCTGCTGCAGTACCAAGGTCTGCCACATCATCACAATCCATAAAGGCAGGCATCCTTTTAAGATATGCTGACCACAAACTTGTGGAAACACAGGCATACACACACACAGACACACCAAAAACAATTTTATACCTCCATTTTTCGTGGAAGTGACAAACACCAGAGACATACAATGTACCTCTCCAGGTAAGAGCTCCTCCATCTCATCAGCGCTGTTTTCATAAAAAAAAACAAATATGCAAACAAACAACTGAGCCTTACCTCTCCAGGTAGGAGCTTGTATCCCTCCTCCATCTCATCAGCACTGTCCTCATCAAATAAACAAACAAACAAACAAACAAACAAACAAACAAACAAACAAACAAACAACTGAGCCTTACCTCTCCAGGTAGGAGCTTGTATCCCTCCTCCATCTCATCAGCACTGTCCTCATCAAACAAACAAACAAACAAACAAACAACTGAGCCTTACCTCTCCAGGCAGGAGCTTGTATCCCTCCTCCATCTCATCAGCACTGTCCTCATCAAATAAACAAACAAACAAACAAACAAACAAACAAACAAACAACTGAGCCTTACCTCTCCAGGCAGGAGCTTGTATCCCTCCTCCATCTCATCTGCACTGTCCTCATCAAATATACAAACAAACAAACAAACAAACAAACAAACAAACAACTGAGTCTTACCTCTCCAGGCAAGAGCTTGTATCCCTCCTCCATCTCATCAAATAAACAAATAAACAAACAAACAAACAAACAACTGAGCCTTACCTCTCCAGGCAGGAGCTTGTATCCCTCCTCCATCTCATCAGCACTGTCCTCATCACTCACCTCCCCACACCTGGTGTCTGATGGGATACCTGGGGTCAGCTTTTTACTCTGGGAAAGAGAGTGAACTGTAGTTTAGCTGTAATGAAATCATGGTTGCAAAATTGTAAAATTGTGTCTACTGTAACTGTTACAGTTGAAACATGCTTGAGTAACACATACAACTTTCAACAATCAACTCTTTCCACAGGATTTTCAATTTTCATAAAGGTTTGTATAAATCCATTGGCAAATAACTTGTTTCTTAAATGCTTTATGTCATTCAAAAAGTATAAAAAGCTTGACTATGTGTGTCAAGGTTGTTGAATAAGACTTAGGACTTTTGTATTGTGTATTCTGTTTTTTCTGGTGTCTTATAAGCCCACATAGTCTGGTCAAGACACCTAAAAAAAGCATCATTTGTTCACTCACTCACTCACTCACTTACTAGCTAACTCACTAACTCTTTAACTACAGTAACTAACTAAAGCTGATTGCCTCACCATGATGAGTATCTTCCCGCGGAGGTCCTGAGGCGAGGGCAGGTGTGTTGCTCCAGGTGGGAGGGGAGGAACCTCCAGTTTACCTGCCAGGATCTGGGTCAGGTACAGTGCCATCTTTCTCTGCTGGTCCAAACTGCAGTGGTTCTCCAAACAGAGGATTACAGGGTAGCTGTGGACGGAAACAATTATCAGTTACTACTAAACAGCGCCATCTTTCTCTGCTTCTCAGAATTTGAAGGTTCTGGGTTCAAATCCATAGCAGATGCTAGGGATTACTAGTTCAGCACCAAGGGCAGTATCCTTTCTGGCTTATCTTTTAAATTGATCCAATCTGCTCCAAACTAATCCAAATTGATCCAAACAGATCCAAACTGCAGTGGTCCTTCAGGCAGAGGATTACAGGGTAGCTGTGGACGGAAACGATTATCAGTTACCACTAAACATCGCTATCTATCTCTGCTGGTCCAAACTGCAGTGGTTCTCCAGACAGAGGATTACAGGGTAGCTGTGGACGGAAACAATTATCAGTTACATTTTACAGTAGTGAACAGTTTCTAAAGTAGTCAAAGCTGCTAATGAAGACCATTCAGCCAGGACCAATAGAATCTGTTCTATGTGGACAGGATTCTTAATATTTGTATCAAATTGTGGGAAACTAAAAAGTGGTCCCAGGGCCAGGTGGTCCTTATGTAGAGGTGGTCACTTGTACAGGTTTGACTGTAGTTTAGCTACATTTTGTACTTTTACAGATCCCCTCACCTGTTATTGATGAAGGCGTATCTGTTGATGACATCAATGACGTCCCTGAAGTAAACCCGAGAAGTGAGGGTGTAGCCGTGGTACACGATGGGATCACCCTCAGGGCCATCCCAGCAGTCCACTGTAACAACAATAAACCACAGTTACACCATAGTTACACCATAGTTACACCCTGAAGTAGACCCGAGAAGTGAGGGTGTAGCCGTGGTACACGATGGGATCACCCTCAGGGCCATCCCAGCAGTCCACTGTAACAACAACAATACACAGTTACAACACAGTTACAACACAATTACAACACAGTTATACCACAGTTACACCATAGTTACACCACAGTTACACCACAGTTACACCATAGTTACACCCTGAAGTAGACCCGAGAAGTGAGGGTGTAGCCATGATACACGTGATACACCACGCACCAAATTACATTTCTTTTGGTTACAGCATTCTGTAAAGTACATGTAGCCTTTTTCGATGCTGTAGGGGCAGTGGAGTGTTAATCCACTGTGTCTAGGACAGGGTATTGGAAGGTGGAGCCCATCACTTTCCTTCTACTACCTTTTACCTTCCCAACCGAAGTCAGGTACCCATTTTACACATGGGTGAAGAGTGGAAAGTACATGTAGACGTACATGTAAAGCCAAGAAGGACACAACATCTAGTAATACCAGGAATAAAACCTGTGACCCCTTGATCCCATATCTGCTAGCCATAAGCCACTCATGATCAGCTATTCAACACCACACCATTACAGTCATCATTATGCAGAATGTGGGACTATTTATTATCCACTGCCTTCAAAGAAGAAGTCGAACCCCATAACAGCTAGTGTAGTAGTAGAAGTTTTTTCCAGACAGTTGTTACCTGTCTCCTGTTACTGTATTGCAATGAGTATTATACTTGATTGTAAAAGCAGTTAGCCTTCGGGCATGATGTTGCGAATAAAGTTTATAACATATTTATAACATTAACTATTAATAACTTGTCAACTTACGTTCCACACATCTGCAGCCAGACTGCAGGACCCACGCGTACATGTCGACGTTGGACTCTGACAGGAGCTGGTCGCCCTGGAGATAAGTATTATGGGATGTCGCGATGTAGTAGTGAGACAGAGGCTGGGTCATGTCCTGGTGAACTGCATGATGGGAAGAGTCAAAGATCTCCCCGTGGTGGCTCATCAGATAGTTGGTAAAACCTGAAAAGGGGGGAGAAATAAATAAATGCAAAATCTTACTTGGTAAGAAAATATATTATGATGATATTACTAGAGTATTATTTTAACATAAATGATTTCCTTTAAAATGTCAAATCCAAATCTCATTCTAATTCCATGATTTGTACAGGAATAGGGAGTCCTACATGTAAATCGAAAAGAATTAATCTAAACAAAAAATGGTAATATTTTTAAGCTAAGTCTTACAAATGAAGGAAGGATTCTAAACACAATCATAGAGTGTGATGTTCATCTACTGGACTAGAGTCCTGTATTTTAAATGTAACTGACTGTGTACATAAACTAGAATCTGATATAATTCAGCCTATGGCTACAAGAAATTTCTTTGGACAATCCAAACAGGTCCTTATCTAACTGCCAATGACTCAAAGATTACTGCTAAAATGTAGTGTATAGTAAGTACATTGTACATGACTGTGTAAGTTATATCTTCCTGACCATTTTGTAGCACTCACCATCCAGACCGAGCCAGCCGTTTAACATGTAGTCCTCCCTGGGTTCACAGTGTGCGATGATGTCCAGACACTGTCCTCGGCTACAGTCTTCAACCTACAACAAAGGGGAAAGAAGCTGTGATGATAGGATGGGACTAGGTAAGGAACCATAACTGTCAAGTAAAGTACTATACTAAGGCATATACATTGTAATATGATGTCAGTTGAAAGGACTAGAAATATTTTTCCAAAATTTTTTTATTCAAATTATTTTGTATCATGAGAAACATCAGATTCTGTTGTAAACTATCCTATGAAGAAATTACATAACTAGGTAATACTTTAAATTTGTTTGATATGGAATTCAAACTTATCAATTTGTCACATTTCATTCCTCAGATGGCTCTGTAAAACTCAAATGGCCCCATGCCTGCTTTCTAACTTAATGACTGTCATTTATGATACATGGCAATTGACAATTAATATTTTCAAGATTGGATATCTTTGACTTACAAATCTATTGTGCAAGTAAAATGTTTTCAAACCTTCTGCTCCTTTTCCAGGAACTGAGCGAGTTCTGCGGCTGTGAGGAAGTCTTTTCCCTCCGAGTATTTCTTGAGCAGCACCACGAGGTCCTGTCTGGTGGAGATGGTCCTGTACAGACCCAGGAAACCCTCCCAGTCCAGCAGGCCTGGACCCTCAACTGCTCTCTGCAGCAGCATCAAACAACAAGGAACAGTTGTGTGTACTGTTACATGTCTGATAACTGGAGTTTTCTTTTTCACACCCAGTAAAGTCCCACCCGCGTAAGTCCATGAGGTACCTTCCTCAGAACTTCTGACTGGAGTACTGCTTCTCATCACTATCTGTATCCAATAGAAGCACCACCTATACAAGCTGTATTATTGGCTACATACATGTATAGTAGTGAGAAACAGTCAGTTCTGATGAAAAAACTGTCTGATAGGCATCAAATCGTAAGCAGGTGAGAAAAAAACATCCTACATTCTATCAAACTGATGAAATTATTTTTGAAGTCATAGAATCATATATCATACTCTGATTTTGATCAATGAACAGTTGACTGTACAGATGCCCCATTTTCCATTTAGAAATGTTAATTGAGAAGTCCCATATTTTGTACATTCCCCTGGTAAATCCAGAACTGAACCTAAATCTCTTGACTTGATTCTGGACCCAGACCTGAACGTGGGTATAGGTACACTGCACTAGTCCTGAACCTTCAACTGGTCTCTGCAGAATGACAAGAGAACCAGGAGCAGTACCTGCACCATGTCCTGTATCTTCCCGCTGGTGTCGTAGATGTTCAGCCTGTCAAAAAGCAGCATTGCTTCCTGCCACGTCAATCTACCGTCCCGGTCTCCGTCAACCAGGCTGAAACACTCCAGCAACCACTGGTAGGTACGGACAAGGTTAAGGACAAAACTATCATACAACGCAACTCACTTAGGCTATGTTTGTATACCCTTAGTCTGAACACTAATGAAAAGAATGACCAAGGCCAAGGGCAAAACTATCCAGCAAGAAACATGCATCTTACTTAATATGGAAACTTGTACTAGTGACCACCTCTGCATAAGGAATGCCTTTGTGGTCCTTTGTGTTTCCTGTTTCAGTCCTTTCAAATACTTACATTGTAATAGTTCACCACAAAAAAAGGCTTGAAAAAATTAGGGTCGGTAGGTAGGGATTATTTTTTTTTTTTTTAGACTTTGGTGATAATACCATGATACAGTGGCAGCCAGTTAATTGCAAAACGCTTATAAGAAAAAGTCTGCTAATTGAAAAGAATTGTGAAAACCCAAACCGTTTCCCATTGACACCATTGTTTATCACGCCCCTTATTTGAAAAGCCAATGCCGGCTAATTGAAAAAAAAATTGTCAAGTTGCAACACATTTTCAACCAAAAACATGCCAAACAAATCACCAAAATCGGCGGAAAATTTCTTATATCAAGACATCAAGCCGCCAAAAGGGACGAAGTTGTCTGTTTTGAACCACAAAGGAGGCCGAAATTTACGTTGATCGAGCGGTCGGGCGCACATCGGCACTACGTAATGAGAAGCGCGAGCCGGTTCATAGCCGCCAAAAAAAGGCGGCATGCTTTTGTGTTCTTTTAGCCTGTTTATTCCAAGAACGTTTAATTTCTCATACAACTCATTTTTTAATCATCAAAACCATGTCTCTACTTGTGTACTGCGCCATTATTTTGAGTTTATTTCGACTGCGACACGGCGCTATCGCCGCTTCAACACGCCAAATGTGCCGCGAAAAAACACCGCATGGAATGATGGGATACTGCTACCCACGCCGCGTCCGCCATCTTTGTTTACTTCCCTGAACGCTAATGCGAGAGATCCCCGTCAACTATCGCAAATTTCCATGTAACCTACGGACATCGTGAGCTAAAAAGTCATTAACATTGAAATGAACAGTTTATTGTTGCATTAGTTACAATAATTTTCGTGTGCTAGCGGGAGTTTCTGAAAATTAAGCGATCGAAGCGATCCTTTGTGCTATCGACTGCTTTCATGACGATCGTCTGCATTTTTGTCTGTACGCTACTTGATTGAAGTTTTCCGTTATCAAACTTTATTTTTTGCTACTTTCGTGATGTAAAAGTACATACAGGCTGATGATTGTGCATGTATTCGTTGCTTGTTTTGTACGTAGCAAACGTAGCATTGTTTATTCGTTCGAGTAGAGCCTGCCGATAGCACATGATGTCTAACGTATCGCGGCGTTCTTCCAGTCTTGGAAAAAACGAAAAAAATACATGTGTACGTCAACGAAAAAAATTAAAAGCAAATTTACCGATCTCAATAAAGTTCACTGTTTTTAATGCGTAAATGTGACTCGTGTTTGTATTCTTTGTGTCGTTATGTGTTCGATGCCCTGTCCACCCCCCACCCCCATAGTTTCAAATTATGAAGGCCGAGAGTTTGAGCCTCAGAGTCTCTTAATCGGAAAGGCCGGGTATTTGAAAAAAATGTGCTGACAAATTGGCTTTTCAAATAAGCGGCTTCTACTGTAATACATAGTGATCCAACTTATACAGTACAGTGTAGCAAGTATATTTTCAATATCAATGTTAGAATCAATGTTTTATCACTCAGGTGTCAGATCATGGAGTTAGAAAAGGTCGATCAGCTCGAAAAATTTATGTCCCATGTAGGGGTCCACCCCAAAAAAAGGCTACGGTCGGCAGGTTTTTCTAGGAAACAGGAAACACATTTTTTCCTAGGACTTAGATAATTTTTCCCATTGACCCAATATTAAGAATCCTCCTCATGTACATGACCACCTGTCTACTATGACTGATTTCTTTGAGGCCCTTGAAATGGCCTTAAACAGATTGGTTATATTGTCAGATGGACTGATAAGGTTAGGGGGCAAAACTCGACCACACAACGCACTTAGGCATCGCTGGTGAAATTACAGTCGAGCCCAATTCCAGGAACAACTCAAGGGACTGTATGTGGACAAGTGGTCGGTGTAAGAACTAAAATTCCCAATCTGTCTTTAAGTTACCAGGAACTTTGAGCACTGCCTTTAACCCAGAAGTACTTTTGTTGGTTTTCAAACATATTAGGGGGGCACATCCCTGTTTATTTGGGGTCTCCATTCAATTCTGTACACTGTCAAGTCTATGAGTGACTTGACTCCTTCAGGAAATAATTCAAATCTGAGGCAAAACTGAAAAAGAAATAAAAATTTAAACTGTGCGTGTATGGGTGGAAGGATTATCCTTCTGCAACAGTGTAGCTAATCAGAACAATGGAGTTTCACTTTCTTTAACCTCTTAAATTTTAGACTTGATAGCATTTATCACTTGATTCAGAACCAGAATTTTTTTTTTTTGCAAATCAGCAAAAAATGAAGAGGCGAATCCGAGAACCAACAAGTTGAATTGGTGTAGCCTTATAAAAAAATATAGTTAACCCCAGCCTTTAACCCCAGAAGTGCTGTGTTAACTACATCTCACACACTCCTGATTGAATCTGTAACCCCAACGTCACCCCAGTCATCATTACAGTGTTTCATCAGAGTAGAAATCAGTGTTCTGGTAATAGAATTGTGGGCAGGATGGATGGTTTCTGATGAAGGGGGACCGGCACAATTTGTCAAACTCAGCACGCAATCACTACAGGGGAGATTGGAACTCTGAGAAACAACATTGATCATGTATCTGTATCTGTATAGCTGGTATAACCGCCCTTTGGCATAACACACCAGCTTTGCAGACACGCGGCGCGGCGGCAGCTAGCAATCACACACTGAACGACTTGATCATGTATGCAACACCCATTTTTTTATCTATTTCTAAGATTGCCATTTTTCTTTTTTTAAGGCAGTCAGTTTACCTTACATGTTACAAATTTAAGAGGATTAACAAAGCTTAGCTCACAAGATATTGAAAGCTGAAGTTCTACTGCAATTCCATAGCAAACTGCCAGGTGGCCCAAAATCTAATCATTTTTAGTTCTCATCAAGGCCTATTATTCTAGATTATACTACATATCATTCCATCTATAAGCCCTTAAAGATTATTTTACACAGTGTCACACACACACGTAAGCATGCACGCACCGCTACCGAAAACATAAGACAGTAAATGATTTTTAAAATATGTCAAAGGAGGTCAATTTTGAACAATTATCTAAGTGGCACAATTTTCCTACTTTCTTCATCTAGGTTTGCCATTTTTTTGTCAAGGCACCTAAATTGTCTGAGAAACATATTGCTGAGACCTTGTTTATGATTAAACAGAAAGGATATTGCCAGTTGGTGATGGGTTTGTGTTCGAAGCCGCTCTCCTCTCTCATCTCCATGACCAGATGTCTCAGCCCGCGAACCCACAGACCAGCCTCCTCAGCTGACCTGCAGTTAACACACTATAGTCACTTTTGGGAAGGCATTTGATAGACTATAGTATTTAGCTTCTTTTTCATACATGTTGTTTGTATTTGCAATTAGCCCTCGGGCATGTATTTGCAATAAAGTTAGGAGTTTCCACAAAGATTAATTAACAACAAAAAATGTTCAATATTTGTGGAAACTGCTACCCTTATTATATGAGTCCATAAAACTAAAACAAGTGTGCCATTTAGGTCCCATTGTGTATTTGAAATGTATTTAATGCAAAGAAGTTTGAATCTATTATTCTTGCACCTGTGCCCTGATCTGGGATCATAAGCCAGCTGGTTTTTAGTAATGACTGAAAACATGAATCATAAACATTGTCACAGTGACAGGTTTAGGAGATTATAAGAACATTTTATGGACAGTCATAGTGACATGGAGTACTAGTACTTTGTTGAAAAAGAGGGCTTAACACATTAGAAAAAGTTACCTCCCCCCCAGTATGTACAAGTAGAAACATCAAATTATATATAGATTGTTCAATAGATTAGACTTTTTCTACCTTTTTTATGTTATTGTATCATTCTGTATATTGGCTGTGTTCACTTGCAATTAGCCTTTGGGCATGTGTTTGCAAAATGAATTTTTTCTTATTATCATAGGGACAAAACAAAGGAAAAACATGACTGCTGCTAAGTGGAAAATCGCACGTTAAAGCGTGAAATGAAGGAGGTCGTTACCTAGCAACCAGTTCTATGGCTTCCCCCTCGTTGCCATGGATAAGGTGGAAACAGCAGCTGGGGTCAAGGTTCAAGGGCGGGTCAGTCCCTGACCTCAACCCCTCCCTCACATCTGTGATGTAGGTGATCGGAACTGAAACAGATGTGAATAATAATTATTTATTATTTACTTTATTATTTATTATTTAGTTAGTGGCCTACATGATTGCATTGCTCACAAATTGTACACGTGAGAGACAGGTATTTTTGTTTCAAGAAATTCACGAAAATCCAACTAAATTTAAAATATCTCATTTCTTGACATTTAACTTTATCATGTTTTTTTTCTGCACCAGGCTATTTCCTTGCTTTCCTGCAAAAATCTGAGCACCAACAAAATAAATCAAACTGGTACGGACTGTGCCCTAATAAAAAAAAAAGACAAAGACTGTGCTGCCTCCTTACTTTTGGCATTGTCTCCTTTCCTGGAGGGTTTCCATCTGACACAGGACTTGTCTTCATCCAGGTAAAAGTTCTTAGGAAGACTGCGGACTCCATCCTTCAGCTTAGTCAGGAGGGAGCCTTCCTGTAGTCGGACCAGGCATGACAACACTGCAACACAACAGTAAATATTTGTTTGTTTTTTTTAGATAAAAGTTTCCATCCTTAACAGCCCTCCTGTAGAAAAGAAGATGTAAAAGAACAAAACTATAGAAATTTACTCTTTGGTATCAGCTCTGGCACAAGGACTCTGAAATATAACATTAAATTTTAGATGTCAGACTGGGAGGGATTATGTATATTTTTGTACAGTAGTAAAGTTACTGACTCAGAGCCTAGAGGTTATGGGTTCCAATCTCTGGCAAGTCCCAATGTTGTTTACACCAATTACCTCATGATCTGACTCCACTCAAGTCAAAAGGTCCAAAAATAAACAATCATGCTTTGAAGTATGCAGAAATAAATCTGTTTCAATAAATAATATTATGTATTCTGTTTTCATAATGTGTATTCTGTTTGATAATGTCGTGTATTCTACATTCTTATGTGTATATGCAGAGACTCACTCCTGTAATATACATGTACATGTACATGTAGTATATGAAGTACATGTAACCTCTGCCATGTAATATATTTACCATGCACTTAATCTTGACACAGAGGCATTAGAATTCATATTGGATTATTCTGTGTGGATTCAGGCATTACATTCTGTGCAGCGTTTGTAGAACTAATAAACCAAATAATCTTGCATACATTTGAGCAAAAGGCTGTGTAAATATCAGTCAATAAAGTCATTCAGTCAATATCATATATAAAAATATTCCAGAAATGTTCAATAGGACAAATGTCTAAGAACAAAATTAATATTCTGCAACTTAGGAAAATGTGTGTGTATGAATCATGATATTTATTATATTTGTCATGAGTCATTCTACAAACATTTGTATGAAAATATTGCCCTATAACAAAATTGGAATAACTGCTAAGTGTGAAATGTTATATTCATTCTGATTCATATAAGCCTGTATCATCATCATCATTTGTATAACATAATGACACCTCACTTATTTCAACAATTAATAATATAAAATCTACCAAACTATTTTGCTGCTGCCAGCATAATTTTACATTAAGTTACATGAACTGTATTTTCTACTATTGTGAACCTAAATCAGCAGTGCATGTACTGAGTGCTCAATCAACCATGTATTTATACAAAATTAATTCTCTTAAATTTGTTTAATGCACTGATTCCGAGTTCTGGATTAGCGGAAGGCATTTCAGCACCTGGAACAAAGACAGCTTTACAAGCCACACTGTGGTTCATGGTTCATAATATTTGTATTAGGAGCTAGTTACAGTTTTTAATGACAGAGATACAATGAAATACTGTCAGCAATTCAAAATACAAGCTGAATCATCATAAAATTTGGTGTATACATTTGTACATGTAGTATAAAATTCAGACACGGTTTCAATAAAATGATCTCATTGATTTAAAAGAACTTTCAAATTGGTACTTTTACACAATCATACAAATACACATAGTAATGAAATTATGTGACTAGTTTCTAATACCAATGCTCATTATTTTACGATTTTATGATCATGAAATTTGGTCCAGTAGTACTGTATATAATTCTGGAATATTTAAAAAGATCCCATAATTGTTTTTAAAATTAACGATTGACAATCAAAATGAACTTACAACACAACACAAATGACAGGCTTATATTCTAAACTACAATGTATTTGTAAAACTAAAAGCGTCAGAAAACCATTTTGCTTATCGATCACGAAAACCTGATCAGCTTTAATTTTCTGGATACAGACCAGGAGACACTTTCAATAATGTGCCCACCACTAGATTAGCAGCTTATTGATTCACCACAGACAGAAATAAATACTGTGGTCAGCTTAACGCCACATTCATATCTGATTAGCACTGGCTTGATTATTGGTGCATTTACTTTAGACAGCCATTTTATTTTTTTGATAACATCTTTCAAAATTAATGATAATTTAATCCCACAAAATTGTGCAGTAAGGATACAACTATCAGACTGCAAAAATATACATTTTTAAGGTTTCTTTGTTTGTTTTTCCTTAGTAAAAGACTGTGTGAATGAGCAAATATTAGAAGAGGTATAAATAAATGAGTTAAACACGATCCTAAACCTGACGAAAAGGATGGCACAATAGCACCATGGAAAAAAAGGCACAGTAGTGAAATTAAAATCAATGTGGACTGCAAAACATACAGTTTCCAGGGTTTATTCATTCTTTTTTAGTAAATGACGAAGCAAATTATCAGAGGTATAAATGAGCTACACACAAGGATAGATCTGAACACATGGATGGCACGAAAGCATTATGGACAAAATCGTGAAGCACTGAAATCACTATCAATGCAGACTGAAAAATATACATTTCCATAGTTCGTTTGTACCTTTTTTAGTAAATGATAAGGGAAATATTATCATTAGATATAAATCAGTTACACACAACCCTAGACCTGACCACATGGATGCCACAATAGCACTATGGACAAAATTATACAGCAATAGAATAACCCTCAATGCAGACTGCAAAATATATACTTCCAATTGCAAGGTTTATATATCTAATAGTATCCATTTTAGTAAATGACAAAACAATCATAGGTGTAAACGAGTTACACACAAGCCTAGAGGCTTTCAGATCCATCACCAGACCACATGGATGGCACAATAGCACCGTGGACAGGGAACAAAGAGCCTCACCATGGGTTCTGCATCTCAACAGCCCTCATATAGAGGAATAACAAAGCATGCTGTGTACACTACACAAACAGACCTGTCCATACCACATGTGTACCAAGACTGGCACAAAACTGTCAGATTAAAAAATACCGTCACCATTTTTTTACTAGACATGACAATCCATCTCCATACAGTAAACACACATGTACACATCAAAATATCTCGATAGTAACAACGACAGTTACGAACCTGTATGATATAACATCCTACTCCTGTATGGTTGAGGCTGCAATATTGCACAGAATGTCCATTTAAAATTCCAGGGATATTCTGGATGTCAGAGAGCGACGGCACGTGTTTGCGGGAAGGATTCCGTACATCCTTTCACATCCGTGGGTCCTGCTCGTATTAACAACGCAGACCGCAGCAAACACACACACACACATGATCATCATCATGTAAATCAGATTCACCAGGAAGAGCTCCTACCAGACAGGAATGTAAAATGGATCTCGGGCAGATTCAAAGTAATGCTTTGTTTGTCATCCAATTTTGTGACAATTTTTTAAAAATTTGATAGTACTTTGTGCAATGTGAAAAGATGTTAAATCCTATGAAATGTTGTATAAAGATTTCTGTGAATTTGAAATCATTGATTACTAGATATTTCTAATATCATTTCAGTATATTACTGATAATACTGACTATGTTAGTTGTTACATGTATTTTTATGGCAATCTTTATACCAAATGAAGACATAACATTATGCTTGCTGTAAGAAATATCAACTAAAACTTGTTATTTTCTAATTTTTCTCTGTACCGACTTTTTCCACAGAATCAATCTCCTTTTATGTAACTACAATAAAGACTATGTCATTGAAGCACAAACCAGCATATTGTATTGCCCCTGCAGCTGTGTATATGAAGCTTGTGCAGCAGTTATCAGAGTACCACAGGGTGCCTGCTGGGTCCCACCTGGGTCTACCACTGATGCTCACAATTAGCATACAGATTAGGGGCTGATAGATCATAGATACTCTGATAGTGGTACAGCTCTATATAGAGTTGTGCTGAAGGCTATATAATAGCATTGTCAATGCCGCACATGTGTATGTGTTGAATTTGTTGTACTCTTCAAGCAGAGGTTTGGGTTTTTAGGGTATTTTAAGCGTGTTTTTAGGCTTTTTTATCGGGGTTTCTCTTTGCACTGAATTTTTTTGGGGTTTGGTGGAAAAAAAATTCAGTGCAAAAGAGAAACCCCTATAAAAAGCCTAAAAACATGCTAAAAATACCCCCAAAACCCAAACCTCTGCTTGGAGAGTAAGTTTGTTGTCACATATTAGACAAACTTGCTTTGAAGTTATTTGTTTAGCTAATAACATTCTAGTTTGTTGTAGGCTGTGTAAGACCAGACTGTACAGGTAAATTGATCAGCCAAGATGAACCCTAAGGCATACTCTTATCAATATGATACTATGATATGATAGCTGTATAGTGTGAAATGAGTGTGAGAAGGCAATACACACAACATGGTCAAGACTATGTCAAGTTGTATGTATGTTTGTTGTTTGTATTGCAAACTGCTTATAGTTATAGCCTAGTAGTTAAGGCATAAACACACCCGTTTTGTTCAGCATGTGCAAATAACATGTTAGAACAGACTTCACTCACATGGCTCAGTGCATTCAGGTCTTTGTGAGGACTCCAGTATATATGGATGACATGGAGACAAATCATGTTGTCAAGAACTACAAATATCCAATTCATATGTTTCAACTTTCTCTAATCAATCTGCCTATAACAAGCTTTAAAAACTGTTAAAAACACTTGTCTGAAAAAAGTCTTCTGCTTCTAAGATTTTTCATTATCTAAAACTGTTTCATTCTTTTCTTGTGGAAAGAATTCTCTTTCACATTCCCAACATGACTTCTTTTGCCATTATTTTTATGATTTCCTCATTAAAAAAACAGCACGTCAAACTCGGTCATTTATCAAAACAGCAAAAACCCATCCATCAACAGATCCCCACGATTTTGAAAGGTGATTGCGCATTTTTACGACAATATCTACCCACTAATTTGTTTTCAACGGTATACGCAATTTCGCGGTTTGCCCCAGGAGACACCCAAACAAAACAATCAACTCACCGGCACCTATTGACAATAGGGTTCTGGGGTTAAGCATGGCCTGTGGCAAAGATATTTATTCTTACTACAGATGTCATAAATCTTCATAGGTCACAGCAGGAGACGTTTTACTGAATGAATATTTAAGATTCAGCAAATAAAGGACTTTTGTAGTATATGTAGATATTGTTAAAACCTACTGTATAAATAATATTTAATGTTTTGTTTAACATGAATTA